AAAAAAAAAAAAAAAAATTAGCCGAGTGTGGTGGCGGGTGCCTGTAATCCCAGCTACTTGGGAGGCAATGGCAGGAGAATCGCTTGAACCCAGGAGGCAGAGGCGGCTGTGAAGCCAAGATTGTGCCGCTTCACTCCAACTTGGGCGACAGAGCAAGGCTCCGTCTCAAAAACAAAACAAAACAAAACAAAACCATATATATATATATAATTTCAACATATCAACATAAAATAATTATTAATGTGTCTTCAAAATCTGGTGTGTGTTACACTAACAGTACTTCTCGGTCGGACTAGCCACATTTCAGCTGCTCATTGGCCATTTAGCACTATGTATTGGACAGCGCAGGATTAGGGCTTATGGTCTTAATCTTTTTTTTTTTTTTTTTTTGAGATGGAGTTTCGCTTTTGTAGCCCAGGCTGGAGTAAAATGGCGCAACCTCAGGTCACTGCAACCTCTGCCCCCCGGGTTCAAGAGATTCTCCTGCCTTAGCCTCCCGAGTAGCTGGATTTACAAAGCGCTCACCACCATGCCCGGCTAATTTTTTTGAATTTTTAGTAGAGATGGGGGTTTCACCATGTTGGCCAGGCTGGTCTCGAACTCCTAACCTCAGGTGATCCACCGGCCTCGGCCTTCCAAAGTGCTGGGATTACAGGAGTGAGCCACCGTGCCCAGCCAATCTTAATCTTTTTTAGCAGAGAATTGCACTTCAGAAAGAAAGGAAATGTTGCACAGAACCCCCTTACGTATAACAGAGGGATGAAGCTGCTCTGAAGTTGTGCTAGATCACCTCTCCCTGCTCTCTGTTCCTGGTGGTGTTCCTGGAATCACTTCTTCCCCCAGCATTTTGAGATTCTCTGCAAAGTTGTTAGGGAGGGTGACAATACTTCAAATTTGGGCTGTACACATTTATAAAATCCATGCACGATGTCACTCCAGCAGGTCCCCAGCATGCCCTGTGGGGCAGGCAGGGCGTCAGGCATTCCACCACCACTGAATAGACCTCAGTCTCGGGTTATCTGACTTCAAGATGTTCCATTTTCCTTCCCTCCTCTCCCACAACCCCCGGCCCTACCAGTCTAACGGGGCTAGGCTTCCCTAGGTGAGCAGCAGGTCATGAGACAGGCTGACAGTACATGTGACCCTGACACCCATGTTGTCCCCATCCTTGCCATCCTCACTCACATTTAGTGACACACTATGCCAGGTACCAGGCTAAGCTCTTTTATATTTCTTACCTTCCCTTAATCCTCATAATAACCTTGTAAGATGGTAAGAATTAGTATTGCCAGTTTTAGATGAAGAAATTGAGGCCCAGAGAGGTTAAGGAACTTGCCCAAGGACACACAACCAGGAAGTAGTAGAGCTGGGTCCTGCAGCCAGGGCTCTTGGCTATGCTATCAAGACTCCACAGCATGAGGTCTCCTCCATGTTGAAAATGACTCCTCCCTGACATGTTGCACCAAGATTTTCTAGAAATTGGACTCATGATCTTTACAGAGGCAGCTTGGGATGATATAATGAATGGTTTTGGAGATGTATTCCCACTTACTAGCTCTGTCTGAGCCTCAGTGACCTCGAGTGTAAAGGGGGAATAATGTGAAGACCGATTCAGATGACAGATGCTATGTGCCTCATTACCCCTAAAGGAGAGGAAGATTCCTTATGGAGAAGGTATTATCTCTTTTTTTTTTTTTTTTTTTTTTTTT